ATCAGATTTTCATTCTATAAATGATGAAAATTGTATTATTTTTCAGTATGTAGATGCATTTTTTTATACCCGTACTCAAAAAAGAGTTAAAAGGTATATTGTATTTGTGGTAAAAGTGGATGTGTGCAACGCAGAGGTAATGGTATAGACAATATATTTTATAAAATGCTACTCTCTCTTCCATTTGACCAACAAAAAAATCTTCTCTCATTATTAAACAAAATTTTCTTCAGTGGAATTATTTCGGATATTTAGCGAATAATAAAGTTGATTCCTGTACCAAATAAAAATTTAGACGTCTTCATAGTCTCAAACAACAGACTTATCTAATTATATTATATTTAAAAGCTTGGAGGGTATGATAAAGATTCGTATGGAATCTTTTATAAATATCCACAATCTACCGCCCAATATATCTTATGCCTTTAGAAAAAAACACTGCATATTGCATAAATGATGTAATAAATAATGTAGCCAATCTCAAAGCTTTCAGGTTGTTGCAGCGGTTTTGGATATAAGCAAGGCATTTGACGCAGTCAACATACCTCTGATGTGTCGGAAGCTTTGGATTTGGAGATGGACATAGACTATATTAGGTTTATAGTTAGTTTTTTGGAGAAAAGGGTTTTAAAATGCGGAAAACAGGAAAAAACTGTTCACAAGGGTGCGTGTCCAGGTAGCTGCCTTAGTCCAATACTTTTTAATATCTATACATCGGATTTTCATTCTATAAATGATGAAAATTTTATTCTTTTTCAGTATGTAGATGACTTTTTTTTATACTGTATTTATATTTATATATATACTATATATATATTGTGGTAGGATAACCCCTATCAGCCCCTTGGAATACTAACCCACTGCCAATACGGCGGCCCTATCGTATGTAAATAGCCCCTAGATAAAAGGTCACACTGAAGAAAATTCGGTCTCCTTTAGAAAAGTATGTAGAACGACGCGACGGCAATCGAAAAGAGACATTAAAAAAGAAAAGACGTGTTGGTCGGAGTTAAGGAAAAGAAAAAGTGCATACCCTTTTTTTACTTCCACAATCTCAAAAGTGGGCCTTACTCACAGTGTGCGGCATCGAACTAAACCAATTCCCGTCAGCGCAAATAAAGAGATGGCTGGCTGGACTCGGGCTACCAACTCAAGTCTCCAAAGCCGAACTGATCGCACTCGTAAGCGCAATCTCACCAAACGCACGCGGCGATCCACCAGAAGGTTCGATCGACCGAATGGAACAGCAGGAGGCAGCAGGCGAAGCACCAACCTTGGCATCGTCGGTCGAGGAAGAGGCAGCACCAACAACTCGAGCCATGCAGGAGAAAAACGCTCCAAGCTAGGGACAGTCGAGCATTGTGGAAGCCGAGTATGACGCTCTGATAATATTGCGCGCAGAGATTTTTTTTTTACGCGATTTTATTTATCTAATCTTCCCTATTAGAGACTTACGACAAGTATACAAATCTTAGCTTAATATATTTATTTAATTAATTACACTTAATTACTTAGAGTACGTCCCTAGCTAAGTATTATTGCTGGGTGGGGAGGTCTCTTCGCCGGAGTTGTGTATGGCTAGTGTGCCAAGTTAAAGACTGCGCAAGTCTATTAGGATGGGCTTGAAGCTTGGCCTAGTACTTTGCTTTCACTTTGGCAATTTCATCTTTAATTAATTCTACATTTAAGTCTTTATGGATATTTTCTTTCCGTATGTACCATGGTGCCCCAGTGATAGTTCTTAGTATCTTCGATTGAGCTGGATTATTTCTAATCCTGGATTATTTCTAAATAACTAACGCAATTAATTTCCCCATAGCTCGGAGCCGTATGTCCAGATGGGTTTGAGAACTGCATTGTACAAAAGTACTTTGTACTCCAGTTTTAGTGGTGAACGGGTGTTTATTAGCCAATGTAGATTACTAGCTTTAAATTTAAGTAGATTTCTCTTCGCTTCGATGTGTTTTCGCCAAGTAAGCCTTCTATCCAGATGAACACCAAGGTATGTTACTTCGGTGGTTTGTGGAATGTTGATATTGTTCATACATAATGGAGGGCAAGTTTGTCTGTTTAACGTGAAGGTGACATGCTTGCACTTTTGCTCATTTACATGTATCCGCCAGTCTGCTAGCCATTTTTCTAAGGCCACCAGATGAGATGATAAGTGATCCGTGGCCCTTCTTGGGCACTTGGAGCGACTTAATATGGCAGTATCATCAGCAAATGTCGAAGCTGTTGTTAGGCTGTTTGTCGGTAGATCTGCTGTGAATATGATATACAGTGTCGGTCCAAGCACACTGCCTTGCACCAGCTTCAATTGGATGATATTCAGAGAGGAAATCTTTGCATCTAACTGCGAAACTTCTTTGCTGTAGGTATGACGCCAATATTCCATGGATGTTCTGTGGAAGTAATATTTTGATTTTGTGGATTAAGCCATCTAACCAAACGCGGTCGAAAGCCTGGGCGACATCCAGTAAAAAAAAGGTCTTTCAAATCCATTTCGTATCTCAGAGGTTATACGGTTTACTTGTTCAATGGTTCTGTTTTTTTCGTTGCTTGATACGATTCTGGAGCAGCTTTTCAAATATCTTTGATAGGCAACGCAGTAGGCTGATAGGTCTATATGATGATGGCTTGGGCTTGTCTTTTCCGGCTTTATGGATCATTGTGATGACTGATTTCCTCCATTCTTGAGGATAATAGCCCCATTTCATCATGCTGTTGAATATCACAGTGAGGAAATACACTGCACAGCTCGGAAATTCTATGAAATCGTGGCCCGGAGCTTTCTTTTGCTTTGAGATTTGGTCTTTAATGACCCTTGTGACTTTTCCTGATTGGAATATGATAGGCGGAGTAGCTTCGGGATTGTTGGTTGGTGGGAGCACAAAGCTATTTGTTGCTGGGTGTGGTTTGAAGACGTTTTCTAGATGGACGGCAAATGGATTTGCCTTCTCTTTGTTGCTGCGAGCCCACTCTCCTGTTTGTGTACGCAAAGGTGATTCACTTTCGATTGGTGGGCATACGCCCGATTTTGCTTTCCACAGTGGGAATCGTTTGCTAGTTGGGGAGAGTTGCTCCATATAGGATATTTGAGCTCGGTTTTTTTCATCTTCTAGGGCTTTGCGTAGTAGGTGGTTGGCTATTTTTAGCCGCTCTCTCGAGGCAGGTGATCTGTGTGCTTGCCACTCTCGGCGAAGCCTTCTTTTATCGCGTAGCAGCACTTCAATGTGCCTAGAAATACGTTTGCTGTTGGAAAGTTTATTAGATGCTAATATTGGTGTTGAGTGTTTTGCCGCCAGTGACATTGAGGATACCAATGCTTCGAATGTCCTACCAATGTCCTCTTTACAGTTAATGTTTGGGCAGCTATCAATATGAGAGCTTATGTACTTCCTGTATTTGAGCCAATCTGTTTTGCTAGAAGTTAGAAAGTGTGGGCGTTCCGAAAGCTGTGGATGGTCGTAAAGGTGAAGTAGAATGGGCGAGTGATCCGATGATAGATCTGTTAATTGATCTACATTAATCTGAGCTTGCAGCACCCTTCGTGTAACTGCAAAATCAATCAAGTCGGATTGCTTGTTTGGATCTGTGGGCCAATATGTGGGCTTGTGCGGAGAGATAAAGTCTAGCTTGTTTCGTGGCGTTATTATATAGTTGTCTTCCTTTCGGGTTGGTAAGTCTAGATCCCCAATGGGTGTGCTTGGCATTGTAGTCACCAGCTGCTATAAATCGATCACCTAGTAGGTCGAGGAATGTTACAAATTCTGTTTCGGAAATGCAGAAGCGTGGTGGGCAGTATACTTCGACTAGGTTTAGGTAGCCGCTCTGAATTTCAATATGAATTGCTTTTGCTTGTAGATAAGGTGTAGCAAATGAAGGTAATGGATAATGCCTAATGCGATTCTTGATCAGAATGCCAGTACCTCCATGTGCCTTACCATCGGGATGATTTGTCGCATAGAAAATATAGATATAGAGATTTTGGTTGCGCATAAGCTCCTGCATCGTTTGTTGTATTGCTACCATTGTGTGTGATATAGTTACCAGCATTAACTCAATTCCACTAGGATTGGGATTGGGATGGGATGGATTAGCAGGGGTATGTTGGGCAGAGATTTCTGGGATTTGATTTGATGCCTGATGCTGACTTATTCCAGCTGTGGTGGGTTGAAGTGTCGGCTTAGAGACTGAGGCGTACGACCCGTTGTTGTAACTTAACGCCTGAGCAAAAGAAATACCTGGAGTCGTAGTTAATGGTATATATGGTAAGTTTTGTCGGACGACCGGGTTTCGAGCTGCAGCTATTTGTTGGTTTAGGCGATTTTTCAATTCTTTATAGACAGGACAACCTCTATAGTTGGCAGTATGATTTCCCCCACAGTTGCTACATTTTTTGGCAGATGGGTCCTCCTTATTTACGGGGCAGGCCTCAGTGAGATGAACATCACCACAAGTAACGCAGACTGCCCGTAGAGTGCAATAGGTTTTTGTGTGACCATATTCCTGGCAATTTGTGCATTGGACCGGTCCATTTCGTTTGTGTGGTTCCTCAACGGTGATCCTACGGTGCAGTACACATTGAAGCTTGTATATGGGGTGAACTTATATATTACTTATATGCATACTTTCAGGTGTCAGTTCTACTTTGAACATTGACTGGGGAATTTTATTTCTATTTATTATGTATATGGCCATTTTGACTTCGAAGCCCTTATCGTTAAGTCCATCTATTATCTCATTGTACTCTCTCCTCGTTCACTTGCAGTGATGCAGTTTTTGTTGGTACTGCTGCCTTTGGCGAGCGTATAGAGAAGTACGCGTCGTTTTTTGCATGCGAGAGCCGACGCTAGTCTTGTTGCTGTTGCTCATTTTGGCTTTGGTGACAGTGTTTGTGCTCTTTACCGAGCTGGTGCTCTTAAACGTTGACATTTGTTCTTTTCTATTATTTCTATTAATCTTTATTACACGATTGGATGGTATTCATGGGCAGCACAATCACTAGTATCCATGCCTACCCCGAGTGCTTTTTCGCGAATTAATTTACGACTTATCGCGATTAATGGATTTTCACGGCGGAGCGATACAAAAATACGTCTGAAGTCGTTGACGGTTGACGGTTTGACGCGCAGAGATTGAAGCAGGAAAAAACATGCTGCGGCAAATCCATGACGAAATAAACAAGATCGTTCACGTCGGCCAATCCAATGACGTCATCAACGAAGACAACGACGCAGTTAACAGCGACAACGATAACAGTGCTACAGTTAACAGCGCCACAGTCAATAGCACCGCTTGCGTTAACAGCACCAATGTTAATAGCACCCCTGACGTCAGTGATGGAAAAGACGACAACTCAGACGGTGTTGCAAAACGTCAAGACACAAATGTTAGACGTTAGCAAAGGAAGTGGCTATGGAATAAGATGGGACACAGTGTGCCAAAAACTGGGTCATACAGATGGAGAAAATTGCCCATATATACAATCTGGACAAAATTACCAAACGAATGCTGCTGATTGCCAAGCTCAAAGGAAACGCTCAGCGCTGGCTCCATGCAGATTCCTCGCGCATCTTGGAATCAGCTGATTACCTGTGCGAGCCATTGATCGTGGCATTCGGGACAACCATCACCAAAGGAGAACTCAGAGACAGGTTCCATAAGCGCCAATGGCTGTATGGAGAAAATTTTTCCACATACTTCGAGGAGAAAATGATATTGGCTAGGAACATCAACATAGACACAGAAGAATTGAAAGAGAAGATAATCGAGGGAATTCCAGCTTCGGGCTTGCGAGATCAGGCTCGCATTCAGTGATTCTCCGATCCGAAGCAAATTTTGCATGCTTTCTCGGAGATTCGCCTTCCGAAGCGTATGCAGCATGCCACATCATCACGGGGCCTGGAAAAGTTTTCGGCGACCAAAGAACTACGTTGCGCCAACTGCAACTCGCGAGGTCATTTCGCCAAGGACTGCCTTAAACCAAAAAGGGAGCCTGGATCCTGCTACGCCTGTGGAGCATTTGGACATCTGGTCGGACAATGCCCAGAGAGAAAGAGCGTAACATACAACAACTATGTAAGATACTGTAGGATTTTCTTTTGCAACAATGTCGTAACACCATTAATTTCAGCGTGCCTCATAGACTCTGGCAGCCCCATATCGTTCATCAAGAAAAGTTTAATTACTAGAGAAATTAGTTTGGAAACAGTTTTGGAATCATATTTTGGGCTAAATAAAAGCCAATTGAAAACATTTGGAAAAATTGTATGTTATGTTTTGAAAGGTAGAATATAATTTTACTTTTATTTGAACGTAGTATCGAACGAATCTATGAGTCATGGTGTGGTTCTTGGCAGAAATTTTATGAATGCATGCGAGTTAAACTTGGACTTAAGTACTTTAAATATGGTTACATTAGACGCTGTAAATTCGAAAGCCAGTGATAATTTGAGGACAAATTCAAAAATTAAAACGGTTGGAAAACGTACTAGTATAATAAGTAGTGCAAAGATTAGAGAAAATTTCGATAAAATAGTTAGAGATGAGGTGATTAAAATAGATAATATAAATGAAATTGTTAGTGATACCGTTCGTGAAGAAGTTAATGGAATTGCTAGTGATACTGTTAGTGAAGAAGTTAATGAAATTGTTATTAACACTGATAGGAAGGAAGTAAGTGAAATTGTTAGTGATACTATTAGTAAAGAGGCAAACGAAATTGTTAATGAAACCATGAGTTGTTCTGTACCAGAGTTTATATATATTTATATGTATAAAAATATATAGGGCCTCGATATCAGCAGATGACGGAAACTAAATTTTAAGGACGGCGTACAGAAAGGTTTGGTCGGGTGCACTCTTGCTAGGCTCGGATCTAGCTCGCCGGCTTGTCGGGGTTCTTCCTCACCAAACTGTACTTTTGTACTCCACTACATTTAATAAGTACACTTGTAGGGAAACTATATGTGGCTATTGTGGCTATTGTGGCTATGTCGCTGCATTGTCCCCTGTTCAACCTTTTTAATCAGATTCACCACATTTTATAAGATCCTGGCATGGATAATCGACAGACCATTACAGAGGTTTAAAGATTCATTTCATCTTTATAAAGCTTCATATTTTAATACAAAAGATATTTTCAGTTCGGGTAACCATAATGTTACAAACAAGAAGGAATAAATTAATATTAATACATAAAATAGGATACTAATTTATTAACTGCTAGGTATTATTCAATTAAATTCATTAAATCATTGTAAAGAAAGGGAAACTATTGGTATAGATCTATATATAGTAACATATCCATAATACCCTACACCAACATACGCATTAAGTATATGTACGTTAAGCACTTGACATATTCATAACCACACCCACACCTATACACGTTGTGCATATGCCCAGCACTCACCCCTACACCCATGTATTCGCATCTATATGAAATAAGATAAACATAAAAGAAGATACCCCAACACCTGAATAAACAACGCATGATTCGTCCATACCGAAATCAACAGGAAGGCCCATGCAACCCAAAACTCGGGAATGCAATAGAACGTCGCTGACCAATACGTTATCAGCTCGTTCCCACACTCCACACTATGACTAATTCAGAATCAGTCCCACACTCCAATAGAAGGGAGAACTCTTGTTAATAAGTGAGTTCTCAAGATGAAAGCTGACACCAATCACCAGCTGCGGCTGCCTGTTTCATCCAAGCCGTCGCATCTCCCAAGCCTCCCCACACATAGGCCAACGCATCGCTTATCAGCCGCTCTCACCAAAGCAACGCCTCTCGCAACCGAAGCTTCGTCTCTCTTAGCCGAAGCCATCATCACTCAATTACGAAGACGAAATATCAGCCGAAGCCGAAAGCTTAAGGAGATAAGCTTTAAGCTTCCCAACAGAGGTCTCGAGATCAATAACTCGAGAACAAGAAGACAGTTCCGTTTGAGACTTTCTAACATTGAGTTGGGGAATTCATTATCATATCCTATGTTCGGTTAAATAAAATATCTTTTTAAAAACCTACTTTTGAACTCGGGGATTCTTATTATATATATGTATATATGCGTAAGGCAAGGTAAGGGTAGACTTAATTAATTTGTATTATAAACGGAATTCATTGACACTCAGATTTTAGAGTTCTGTTAAATTGTATGGAAACTAAGACAAAAGTGCATTTTAGGCTCTGAGAACGGGATCAAATATAGTTAACCATAAATATGTATAAACGTATTCATACTGTCCAGCATGAACACAAATTGTAATAAAATGACGACATTCTTTTGTTTTTACTCACTTCGCCATAAACTTTATATTGCGTATTGTTGGGCCCAATGAAGACGTATGTGTTGGTGTTGTCTGTTTAAGATATTCAAATTCATTAAATATATATCAACAATAACTAATTCGAAAAAAACCGTTCATATATATCAGCCAGTTGTCTCAGTTTGCATGATTATTAATTTACGTTAATTGTATGATTAAATTCTACGGTCAAAAGAACAATATTACCAAATATTTAAAAAGCATTATTGCAGAAAGAAAATCAAATAAAAAGGGGACTTCATGGTGCATTTACATTTCACAATTCCTAGCCATTAGCGAGGAGTGCTTTTAAAGTTTCACATTCACTGAATCACAATGCTGACGTTGGCAGATGTTAATGGAACTATGAATTTCTTAGTATTTATATAAACTTAGACTGCGTGGGGATCCAATGATGAATGGGTTAGTCCGGGTTAGTCTGTGGTGCTTCGGAAATCGTCTCGAGGAGTTGTAAGGGCACTCGGCGATATATATGACTCCGGTTCACTATGTAGACTCTTGATTAGAGACGAGAGCCAATTCTATAGCCGCGGCCAGCCTATCTGTTCCAAGTGGAAGGGACATCACCTTCAGTAAAACTGTACACAGGCATTTTGACCATAGATGATCCACGAAGGGGGATTAAAATCCGCCAAGGAGGTTGCAGTTGGACTAAACTCGACAACTGTCTACCTCAGCCTGCCCCCAGGTTAGTCTTAGACAGACTTCACCGCGGTGGGGCAGGTTAAGATTTGACCTGCAACATAGGTTATGTAAGCACATGGGCACTGCACGAACATGGTAACATACCTTTGGCAAGAGATACACAGCAACCACTTCAATATAATATCTCAACAATTATCCCAAATGGAATAAGTAGTTCGCTTGCTCCTCTAAAATTCTCTGCGCGTAAAAGCAGGTACAAATATAAAGCACGTGTTCGATCAAACTCTTAAGGCCATAATATAATATAATAATCACTTAAATGACCCTCGCCGTAGACCTACGCTCAGTTTACCTCTTTGTTACGCTCTTGCACTAAATTGTAATTGAATTCACCACACAGAAGCCCGCTTAGCCAGTGTCATGCACTAGAACAAATATAGTCATTGGCTACACTCAACTGAACCCCCTCGACTTTTCGGATTATTATTGGATTCCAGCAGATTTCTTCGCATCGAGTTAATTAGCTCACTTGGAGATTGACACACCCCCACCGAACACGATATGAGGAACGCTCTCATCAAACATTTTGGCGCCCAACGGGGCACGGTGTTAATTCTGGACATTAAATTACTCGCATTTTATGTATATTCCATCAAACAGCTTCGTCGGTACATAATTTGCAAGTGCAACAACTACACTTTCGTTTCGTCTCGCAGTCGCCGTCGAAATTTCTGAAAACATATCAGAAGCGAACTGATCGATCGCGGGTTCATCAACCTCTCACTGTGCTCTCGCCATCTCGCTTAATTCTATCATTCGCTTATCACCCACATCGCATTTAACGGCGCTTGCGCTCTCGTTTCGTTTGCATTGCTGCTACCTGCTGTGGTCCATCGGTCAACGCAGTCACTACTCTTCGAATTTCTCTGCTTCACTTTCGCTTTCGTTGCCGTCGTTGGAATTTTTGCTCACTCTCTGGACTGGAATTGCGCTCAACCCTTTTTTTTGTCGCCGTCGCTCGCTTCTAAATTTGTTCTCTTGCTGCTGCTGATCTGGTGCCTGCTTGCTGTTGTTGCGTGCATTTGAATTTGGAACTCTAGTTCTGTGTGCGTGTAATTTACACTACACATAATGACCGCTCGAAGATTTGAAACGCCAACGGAGCAATATTAAGCGCAATATTTCTCGTATCAAATCTGTGGTGGAAGGCAAATCGGAACCCATTGTAATGATGAGCTTCGCTATCGCTTGAGCATCTTGGAAACGTATTTCAAGAAAATTCTAAACGTTCAATCTACATCGAGGATCTTAATCCGAACGATGCAGGACGTGCGGACTTGGAAGATACCTACATAGCAATAAGCTATCCGTAGGAAACTAGGAGGAGATCTGAACGCTAGCATATTGACGCCGGATCACCACCCGCTACCAGTGCGGTCATCGTTGCCGAGGTTGTCGCTGCCTACGTTTGACGGCACTTATGCGAATAGGAATTTCATAAATTCGTTCGATCAACTTATTGTGCGTGAGTCTGGACTGTCTAACATAGAGGTTTAATTATTTGCTGACCTGCCTAAGGGGCCGGCGTTAGACACAGTTCAGGCAACCTGTGGAAGGGCTACAGTCAGCAGCTTCGTAGTTTAGTGGATAAAGCCTCCGCTATCTTCAGCTCTTTGGAATCCATCGGCAAACCTGAGAATTGCTCAGCATGCCATATATAGTTATGGAGAGTGTGTCAGCCAACCGGATTAGTGGAAGGAATCGCTGGACTACAGACTCTGCCGACCTGGCTAAAGCACAAGTTGTTGGAACGCCACTGCCAGTTTCTCCATTCGTCTGGAACCTCGGCTGGTACTTCGTCGCAACGAAAGGCTGAAACCAATAAGTCCAATCGTCATTCAAATCACCATACAACCTCATCGTTTGCCATTACTAATTTGTCTTGTACCCTTTGTTCTAGTTCTGGTCATAAATTACGACTGTTCGCAGTTCAAGGCTATGACAGCAATCAACGGTTCGATAAGTGAACGCCTCGGCCGCATCAATTGTCTTGGAAACGGCCATAGAGTGGCACAATGCTCATCGACTCATCGTTGCCGTACCTGTAATCGGAATCATCATTCAACCTTGCATCACTCTCAGCCGCAACAAACACCACAACGTCAGAGGACAAACGTCAACTCCAGCACAGAACACAATCATCGCTACCCTCCTGGCCACCTACTGCTAGTCAGTCTCATCAAGCAGCGTCTCATTCACACATGGAAGTAGCAGCAGAGGATCAGATACTGTTAGCGACAGCGATGGTATTGGTCAAGGAGTCTCAGGTGAATACAAACTTGGTAGAGATTGCTTGATTCGTGTTCGCAGGTTAATTTTGTAACCGAGAACTTCGCTCAAAAACTTCGCCTTCGTCGTGAAAGCACCACATCGGAATCCGCAGTATCGGAGAGTCCCTTACTAACCTTAAGGCTCGTACGACGAC